CAGCTGCCTGCTGGGAGCAGCTACGCAGAGCTGGGGCCAGCTGCAGCTGGGTGGCTGCGAACAGTTGTGCTGGGCTCCAGAGCCCAGGTATCAGCTCTGTACCGGTGTGTGCATGCGTGCCTTGGAGTTGGCAGTGGGGGAGGGGCTTGAGGCAGCACAGCCCCAGCCTCTCCCCCCGCTTCTGGCACAGAGCTGGTGACTGGGCTCTGGAGCCTGGCGCAGCTGGTTGTAGCCATCCTGGTCTCTGGGCAGCTGCAACAAGCAATGGGTAGGCTGCAAACAGCTGCGCCAGGCTCCACAACTCTAGCACCAGCTCCATGCTGATGGTGACTGCACACGCATTTCGGGGCAGACAGCAGAGCAGTGCAGCCTGCCCTGAGATGTGCACACAGTTGCCACCAGTATGGAACTGATGCCGGAGCTGTGGAGCCTGGCACAGCTGTTTGCAGCCTGCCTGTTGCTTACTGCAGTTGCCCAGAGCCCAGGCTGGCTACAAACAGCTGCACTGGGGTCTGGAGCCCAGTCACCAGCTCTGTGCTGGGAGCGGGGGAGAGACTGGGGTTGCGCTGCCTCAGGCCCCTCCCCCACCGCCCACTCCAAGGTGCACGTACACACACTGGTACAGAGCTGATGCCTGGGCTCTGGAGCCTGGCGCAGTTGTTTGCAGCCTCCCAGCTGCAGCCAGCTCCGACTCTCTGTAGCATGTTAGATCTATTGTAATGTGAGCAGGCAAAAACCCTTTCTGTTTACTTGTAAATAATATGAGGGCTATGGCTTGAAGTTCAGAGTGCCAGAGATGACTGATTTTTACTTCTCTATAATCCCAAGATAAATTAGCTTTTTTCATTAGTACTTTCATGAACATGAGATTCAAATCCTAAGCAGCATTGCCAGGATTCCAGTCAAGTTTAAACTGTTTAGAAAATATAAAGAGCATCAGAGAATAACTAATATAGGAGATGAAATGCAAGGCTGAACTGCAAAAGAGTCTACTGCCCCAATATCTCTAAGTGCTAGTTGATGTTTAAAGTGCTTCTCCTATTCTTTAGCCAAGGAAATTGGTTGTGTTTCCTGATCAGGGTGATATGACCTATTCTTTGTTCATTTGAAAGGATCCTTCGCCAGCCAGTTGGCAGGATCTACTTTGCTGGCACGGAGACAGCTACAGAGTGGAGTGGATACATGGAGGGGGCTGTGCAGGCTGGAGAGAGAGCAGCTAGAGAGGTAAGAACACTGATCTTTTAAAGAGGCAGGGCATTCAAGTTGAAGTGGAAAAACCAAACTTGAGTTTCAAAGCTGCTGAAGAGGTTTGGAGGCCAACTAGGAATTAAATTTTAATGGGAATTTGGTATAGTTGATGCCACACATTCAAAAATCGTAAGTCAGGTTTCCCCAAATCATGAGATTATTGTAAAACAGGTTACATTAAAATTAGTATCTTTTGATTCTCTTGAGTCTTTGGGACGTGTTACATTTTACCAGCTTTTTCTCTGCAAACGTGAAGGCTAGAAACTTATTTTTCTTTTTAATTGAAAGATGAGGCTTTCATTATACTACTTGTCTATAAGATCTGGGATGTTATGGTTATGTGGCAAATCTTGGCCGCCTCTGAATAAAATCATGAAAAATGACAACACTGAGAATCACATGTGTAAACCACATAAAATTGCTTTGATAAGCTCAGCACAAAAGTCCGTTTTCAAGACTAACAATTCTGCCACAGTCTTGTGGAGCAAACAAGAACCTTCATGTTGCTTCTAAATAATGATAATGTTTTACATCGATAGGCACATACAGATCACTTACAAATGCCATTTTCCTAAATATTTTTAAGAACATTCAGTTGTTCTGGGCAGATATCAATCAGCAAAAGAAATACCATAATTGTTTCATATGAGATGAAGGGAAGAAACTGGTACCCCAATGGTGGGAGATAATCTAAATGCATTCTTACACACAAAAAGGTAAAAATATTTAAAATATTGAAAAATGTTAAAACAGACCTTCCAGAGGCCTTAGCACAAGGTACAGCAAGCAAGAGCATAGTAAAGAGCTGATGTTTACTTTAGCTACTGGAGAGAGATTTGTATTATGGGAGGAAGGTATCCTAAAAATCAGTCATGCTAGTTGGTCTGTCTTCAACTTTTATACAACGTAAAGGAGAAGCATCTTGGATCATTATGTTCCTTTGTTAAACATAAGATGCAGTTCTTCAAAGCTGTTTTGGAGAGAATAAATCAAATGCTAAACTCTGTCTTAGCTGGAGCTAGGTAAAGCATTTAGGATAAAATTATTTGGGCAAAACAAGGGAGTTTCTTATCCCATGGGCTGTTTTTCTTCTACTGTAAACTGCACTGAGCCTTTCTGGGTAGGGCAAGATATAAATTTAAGTAGTAATCATAATCCAATGACATTCTTAACTATACAAACTGGCAGGCCTGATAGTCATCTTGTATTCTGGCTAAAAATGAAAGCACATTTCAGGAGATATTGAACAGTGTTAACTCTACAAGGCAGTCAGAAAGCCTGCAGCTGAATTGATTCGGTTTTTGCAGGTTAGTCTAAGCTGCACAGATTAAATAGAAACAGAAGTAGACATTTACCTTTGATTTAGAAAATGTAGCCACATGCCTGCAGTGGCTCAGGCCAGAAGCCGGAGAGTGCTAGAGCGTGCCTCTCTGGCACATAGCCATTATGCGCTGTGTGTTTGCTTCTTCTTTCTGATGCCCCTGAGATCTCTGGGATTTGCAGTCCAAAATCATAGCAGCAGGACTCTGCAGGGTTATTCATCACTTTCTCTTCCTGCTTCCAGGTGCCTCTGGGATTTGTAGTTCACAAGCACAGCTAGCAGTATGGGAAGAGGTATTTTCACCCTGTTCCCTGACCCCAGACTCCAGCCGGGGTTTGCCTGGGGGGTGCGGGGGCATTCTCCCCACCTCTCTGCAGACTGGGCGGCATTTCCCACCCCCCTCTTGTCAGCCAGTCCTCACTGCTCCAGCTAGGGGGCAAAGGGGTGGGGCCAGGCCTGCTCTCTGGAGCAGAAAGCCCAGCCTAAGGCTGCAAAATCCTGGGATGCTGAAGGAATGTGAGTTAATTTGAACCTGGAATGGCTCTGGGAGAGAAGTTCTATAAACTGGTTTGACCTAAATCAGTTAAGTCTGATACTACATTCAATCAGGTTTATCTCAAACCAATTTCAGTCATTTTGAAGCTGGTTTATGTGCACTGAACTTCTATTCTGTTACAGGTTCAAACCAGTTTCCGATCACTTAAATTGGCTTATGTGTAACTTCTGTCCCTAGCCCAAAAGGCAGGAGAAGGAAAAACCATTTAAAATCTCCCCATGTTTTTGTTTGGAAACCAGTACCTTTAAAAAAAATGAGCATCTTTGCTGTCATACTCTTTGAGTACAGGCAGTCCTTGGACTTACAACACAATTGGTTCCTGAAAACCATATCTTTAAGTCAAAATGTTGTAACTTGGAACCAATTTTCTCATAAGAAATGATGTTATAAATGGGGGATTGGTTCCTGAACCAAGGCCCAGTACCCTATTCTCACTAAAAATACCCCAGAATTTTGTAATATAGCTACATTATTGTATTTGCATTGTAAATAGCAATCATATTGATTTGGAAGGACTTCTTTGAGGTGACCGCTGGACTTTTTGAAGGGCTCTTGGTTGGACTTTTTGAAGGGTTGGCTGCAGATTTTTCTGGAGTCTTGTCTGCTTTCTTAAAGAAAGTGTCCGAGGAAGTTTGGACAGATGTTTTTCAGGTACATTAGTGATGCAGCGAACTTGTTCGCTGGTGTGGCGTCACATGAGATGATGCATTGTAAAGTCAAAACTGACGTTATAAAGTTGAAAAACGGTGTCAATTTATAAACGTAAGTATGAAACGTTGTAAGTCGAAATGTTGTAAGTCGAGGACTGTTTGTATTTCATATAATCATAGTTTGGCTTCCTGCCAGCAGACCTTAACATTTTTAGCAGCTACTTCCCATTTAACATTTTGGCTTGCCCTGAACAGTAAGGTGTCCTCCTTCCCACAAGACCCTCTTCCTACTTCTATATGAGAAGGAAGTTTTCAAAAGTATCTTGTCCTATTTTCCACATGCCAGTTACAAGAAACAGGTATCACAACATTAGCATCAATTTTACATGCTGCTTCCCACACAGATTATTGGTTCATATTCAGGCTTCAGTTCATCAGTAATTTAAGATGATGTGGATTCTTCAGTAGGATTATGCATATGCTTATTTCGGGCAGTGTTTAAATCTGACAATAATTAGGGCATTCCTGAGCTAATGAGGTTTCCTCCATTCCTTTATTTTCTTCCATCCTTTCCTGCAGTTGGGTGATTATTCTCAATAAATAACAGGCCCTCCCATGAATGTGATCTACAAATATCAGATTCCCTTTTGAGTCAAAATACGTAGGATCTTATCTTGATTATAACAGTATTAGTTTAAGTAAATGCTTAAAATGTCAAAGGTTTTGCTTTTTAAAGGAATGAAGGGTACTAAGAGGAAATGTTTATTTTCAGATACTGTGTTCTATGGGAAAAATCTCAGAAGGTGAAATTTGGAAGTCAGAACCAGAATCAATTGTAAGTTTAACTTTAGTTACTATGAAAGCTTTTTTCCCCCTGCCTTTGATACTAATAATGTAAAGTAGGTGTTACTTTTTACTTTCCAAAACTAAAATGACCAGCATCTGTTTTACTACTCAGCAGAACAGCCCATGTATAATTGAGTATGTGGTTGGCTCTCACGAAGGGGAGCTGTCTAAATATTTAATTGGAACGGCATAGGAAAGACTTCCCCTCCTTTGATAAGACTACTAATGTGTTCATGGACCTCTGACAGTGCTCATTACTTTTAATTTGATGAGCTTTTAAAGCTTGGTTGTGTTCAGAAAAGCCCCATTTTTAATAGGTTTGGGTGAAATTATTTGAAATTTGGATAAAATGTTTTGTTGAAATTCTGATGAGAAAAACAAGGGAAAAATGACTAAAAAGGCCTATTTTCAACCAGACGAGGTTCTTTGGGTAGATGTGATATCTTTTATTAGATCAACTAAATAGTTGGAAAAAAGGTCTTTGCAAGCTTTTGGGGACAAGCATCCTTTTTCAGGCATTGGGAAGCTCTGCTGTTGTTCTGAGATCTCCAAGGTAGGAAAGAAGCTAAAATTGTGACAAGAAGTCTGTGAAAATGTAAATAGGTAGAAATCTGGAAGCAGGGCCAGCCCATCCTATCTTGCGGAACTTGTGGCCGCAGGGGGCCCTGCAGCAATGGGGCCCCCTGCAGTTGTAAACACTCCAAATCAGTGCCATAGCAAGGCGGGGCGGGTGGTTGCCAGCACTCCGCGTTGCTGCCACCACTCCGCATTGATGCCATTGGCTTCATTTCTGGCTGCTTGCCATCCCCCCCCTCCCCACCCACCAGCACTGCCACCACCACCAGTTTCTTTGGCTGCTCACCCCCTTCCCACCCGACACCGCTGGCAGCTTTGCATCGGGGGTCCCAAAACTGTATCTTGCAGTGGGCCCCCCAAAATTGTGGGCCGGCCCTGTTTGGAAAACAATGGGTAGAGATGGGAGGGGAGGGGGAGGAAGGGGGGTGGGAAGAATGCAGATGGTAAACTCAGGCAGGTACCTGGTGAATCAGATGTCAGGTTATAATGTGTCATAAATCCAATGTCTATATTAAGTCCATGATCTAATATCTAGTAGACTTCTAAAGTGAAGTGAAGTTCATAGGCTCTTCTATGAAAGGTGTTTTGTAAGTTCCCTTTGAGGATTAGAGCTCTCTATGACCCAAACCAACCTAAATGGATCCAAACCATGCCAGGACAAGAAATACAAAACCTGCCTACACGCTTCCACCACTCCCACAATAACTACACCCCACAACAGAACC